ATTTCTTCCTCAGTTGTTAGATCATGAATGAATGGGACCTGCATATCTGCATACCTTTTCAAAAATCAGCAATATTCAATAGCCCGAACTCCAGTTGAGTTTCCCTTATCCAAAATGCTTGATACCTGAATTGCTTTGGAGTATGGATTCTGGAACATACATCATGAGATATCTTGGAGGTGGGACCCAAGTCCGAACACGAAAGTCATGTATGTTTCATATCCATTTTATATGCATGAACGCAACTTAATACACAATATCTTAAATAATTTTGTGCATAAACAAAGTTTCTGTGTCACTGAATTGCCAGAAAGGAAAGGTGCCTAATGTACTAGGTACTTTAGATCTGCACATACTTACTGCTTAGTGCTTGTAGTAGTAGAATGTTCTTTACATTAGAAAAATGCATTTCTACTGTTTCTGCCTTGTGCATTTCGTCTTATGGTTTGCATTCTTGCTTTTTTGCTACATTCTTGCTGTAGATTTTCTGTTGTTAAATGTACTTTTTCTGAATGAAAGTTGTGTAAAATACCAGGTAGTTTTGACCTGCACAAAGTTACTGTTTAGTGCTTGCAGTCATACAATGTTCTTTCTATTAGGATATTGCATTTTGACTGTTTCTGTCTTGTGCCTTTTATCTTAAGGTTTGGATTCTTACTTTTATGTCTGTAGATTTTGTGTTACGCTACTTTCTCTAAATGAAAATTATCCATTAAAAAAAAAGAAAGGTGTCACTTTCTCAGCCACTTATTGGGAGAATTTTGGAGTGTTTCAGATACAGGACACTCAACCTATATTTCCATTTATGGTAACTATCGACTTTTTTTTTCAATCCAGCCGTTGAAGCCCCATCTACACTGCCTGATAATACAGTTTGAAACTGTACTACATGGCTGGTCAGTGCAAAGACTCATATGATGGGGTTTAATTGCAATGAAGTGCATTCTGCAAGTCCCCACTGACCAACCATACAATGCAGTTTGAAAATGAATTATCAGGCAGTGCAGATGGGATCTGAGTCAAGGGATCTGCTGAATTGCTCTCAGAGTCAGGAAGTTCTTCCTAATGTTCAGATGGGATCTCCTTGTTTGAAGTTTGAAGCCATTGTTCCATTGCGTCCTAGTCTCCAGGGCAGCAGAAAACATGCTTGCTCCCTCCTCCATATGACTTCCTCTCACATATTTATACATGACTATCATGTCTCCTCTCTGCCTTCTCTTCTTGCCCAGCTCTTTAAGCTGCTCCTCATAGGGCTTGTTTTCCAGACCCTTGATCATTTTAGTCACTTCCTCTGGACACTTTCCAGCTTGTCAACATCTCTTCAACTGTGGTGCCCAGAATTGGACACAATACTCCAGGTGTGGTCTAACCAAGACAGAATAGAGGGGGAGCATGACTTCCCTGAACCTAGACACTATACTCCTATTGATGCAGGCCAAAATCCCATTGGCTTTTTTGCCACTGCATCACATTATTGGCTCATGTTTAACTTGTTGTCCACAAGGACTCCAAGATCTTTTTCACACGTACTGCTCTCGAGCCACGCATCCTCCATTATGTATTTTTGCATTTCATTTTTTCTGCCTAAGTGGAGTATCTTGCATTTGTCACTGCTGAACTTCATTTTTTTTTAGCTTTGGCCCATCTCTCTAATCTGTCAAGATCACTTTGAATTCTGCTCGTGCCCTCTGGAGTATTGGCTATCCCTCCCAATTTGTGGTTGTCTGCAAACTTGATGATCATGCCTTCTAACCCTTCATGTAAGTCATTAATAAGGTAGTCTTAATGCTAGGTGCACGAATTGAAGTGTATCAGGTGAGAGGCACAAGGACTCTTAAATGCATCAGATTGAAACTAAACCATAGCCCCAAGAACTACGAGGCCTATTAGACTAAAACTAAATCAAGGACTCTAAAGTCAATCAGGCTAAAACTAAATCATATCTGCAAAGTTCTAGGGCCCTTCCACACAGCCATATAACCCAGAATATCAAGGCAGATCATTTACAATAACTGTATTGAACTGGGTTATTTCAGGCCCTTTCTACACTACATACAAACTCCAGATTATGTGCTTTGCACTGGATTATATGGCAGCATAGACTCATACAATACAGTTAAATGGATAAAGTGGATTATCTGTTTTGATAATTTGGATTAAATTGTAGTGTAGAAGGGGGCTGAGTCCACACAGCCATATGAATAACAGTATCAAGGCAGATCATCCACAATGGGTTCTTCCCCACAGCCATATAACCCAGAGTATCAATGCAGATCATCCACAATATCTGCTTTTAACTGGATTATCTAAGTCCACACTGCCATATAATCCAGTTCAATGCGGATTTTATGCAGCTGTGTGGTAGGGGCCAATGTTTGTTTTGAACTGGGTTATGTAAGACCCCTTCCACACAGCTAAATAAAACCCCAAATTATCAGCTTTGAACTGGGATCTATGGCAGTGCGGATTCAAATATGTCAGTTCAAACCAGATATTCTGGGTTCTATGGCGGTGCGGAAGGTCTCTGAGTCCACACAGCCATATAACCTAGTTCAATGTGGATTTTATACAGCCGCGTGGAAGGGGCCTAACTCAGCCTCAGGCCTGTTCGTTCCAACTAGAAGAAACCCATTGAATTTATTTATCGAGTCATCAGCAACCAGTCAATTATATTACATTTTTAACAGAACAAAGCAAACAAACAGACAAAATACAAAATTTGTGAGTTTAGTAATTGATTAAATGTCCTCTGACCAGTATCTGGCCACTTGGAGTGCCTCTGGTGTTGCCGCAAGGAGGTCCTCCATTGTGCACGTGGTAGGGCTCAGGTTGCATTGCAGCAGGTGGTCTGTGGTTTGCTCCTCTCCACACTCGCATGTCGAGGATTCCACTTTGTAGCCCCATTTCTTGAGGTTAGCTCTGCATCTCGTGGTGCAAGAGCGCAGTCTGTTCAGCGCCTTCCAAGTCGCCCAGTCTTCTGTGTGCCCAGGAGGGAGTCTCTCATTTGGTATCAGCCACTGGTTGAGGTTCTGAGTTTGAGCCTGCCACTTTTGGACTCTCGCTTGCTGAGGTGTTCCAATGTGTGTCTCTGTAGATCTTAGAAAACTATTTCTAGATTAAATCGTTGACGTGCTGGCTGATACCCAAACAGGGGATGAGCTGGAGATGTCTCTGCCTTGGTCCTTTCACTATTGGCTGCTACTTCCTGGCGGATGTCAGGTAGTACAATACCAGCTAAGCAGTGTAATTTCTCCAGTGGTGTAGGGCACAGACACCCCGTGATAATGCGGCATGTCTCAATAAGAGTCCCAGTGGTGCAGCAATTTGAAAACATGCACATGTGAGTAGATCAATAGATACCGATTCTGTAGGAAGATAAGCCACATGACCTTGGAGGTGTCTATGGCCACATGACCTTGGAGGTGTCTATGGACAACGCCGGCTCTTCGGCTTAGAAACGGAGATGAGCACCACACCACAGATTTGGACACAACTGGACTTAATGTCAAGGGGAAACCTTTAGATTTAAGTCGTTGACATGCTGGCTGATACCCAAACAGGGGATGAGCTGGAGATGTCTCTGCCTTGGTCCTTTCACTATTGGCTGCTACTTCCCGGCGGATGTCAGGTGATGCGATATTGGCTAAACAGTGTAATTTCTCCAGTGGTGTAGGGTGCAGACACCCCGTGATAATGCAGCATGTCTCATTAAGAGCCACATCCACTGTTTTAGGGTGGTGAGATGTGTTCCACACTGGGCATGCATACCCAGCAGCCAAGTAGCACAGCGCAAGGGCAGATGTCTTCATTGTATCTGGTTGTGATCCCCAGGTTGTGCCAGTCAGCTTTTGTATGATATTGTTTCTAGCACCCACTTTTTGTTTGATGTTCAGGCAGTGCTTCTTGAAGGTAAGAGCATGGTCCAGAGTGAATCCCAGATATTTGGGTGCGCTGCAATGCTCCAGTGGGATTCCTTCCCAGGTGATCTTCAGAGGTCGGGACGCTTCTCTGTTCTTGAGATGAAAGGCACATGTCTGTGTTTAGATGGGTTAGGGATCAGCTGTTTTTCCCTGTAAAAGGCGGTAAGAGCACCTAGAGCTTCGGAAAGCTTCTGTTCTACCATCTCAAAGCTCCCTGCTTGATCAGTAATGGCACGATCATCAGCATAGATGAAACTCTCTGTCCCTTCTGGCAGTGGCTGGTCATTTGTGTAGATGTTGAACATGGATGGAGCAAGCATTCATATACAGTGTGTCAATAATCCCAAAAGGAACATCTATACGTTTTAGGTATACTGTTTTAGCGTGGTGATATGTGTTCCACACTGGGCATGCATACTCAGCAGCGGAGTAGCACAGCGCAAGGGCAGATGTCTTCACTGTGTCTGGTTGTGATCCCCAGGTTGTGTCAGTCAGCTTTCGTATGAGATTGTTTCTAGCACCCACTTTTTGCTTGATGTCGAAGATAAAAAGTTTTAATGTATTGTCGAAGGCTTTCATGGCTGGAATCACTCAGTTCTTGTGGGTTTTTTCGGGCTATATGGCCATGTTCTAGAGGCATTTACAAGTTTTATTTTTTGCCCGCCCGCGTCCCCTCACTAAAACAGAAAGGTATCATAATCATCATAAAACACTCTGTTAAAACACACCTCCATAAAACACGCAACACAAAAACGAGGCATACAGTGGAGTTTGAAACCCAACTGGGAAAGGCGGGGGGAGGGGAAAGATTCAATGGGTTTGGGAATCTGAAGAGAGTTGTCTTTCCAAACTGGGCAACTTCTTTAATAGTGAGGGCGAAAGGCTGAAGGTAGGCCGCAGCGCCGCCTCCCCGCGGCCTAACCGCTGAATGAATCAATGAGGCTGCAGAATCGCGGCTAGGCCCAACCCTCGCCTCCGCCTCCGCCAGGCAGCGTGCCGCCCGCCCCGAGGGAAGGAAGCAGGCCGCGCCAAGAAGCCGAGGGAAACCCCAACGCCGCCTCTCCGCCCGGCCCTTCTTACCTGCGCTCTGTGGACCGCCATGGGGAGGAAAGGAGGAGGGGGCGGCGAGCTCGGCGTCTCCCTTCAGCGCCTCACGCCGCCAGACCCGCCGCCGCCGCCATTTTGTCTCTCTCCGCTCCGCCACACGGGTCTCTGCGCCTGCGCGGAGGCTCGCGCCCAGCCGACTTCACTCCCCTCTCCCCAGTGCGCCTGCGCGGAGGCTCGCGCCCAGCCGACTTCACTCCCCTCTCCTCAGTGCGCTTGCGCGGAGGCTCGCGCCCAGCCGACTTCACTCCCTTCTCCCCAGTGCGCCTGCGCGGAGGCTCGAGTTCGGACAAGTCACGCCCCCCGCCCCCAGTGCGTCTGCGCGGAGGTTCCAACTCAGCCAAGTCACTCCCTGCGCGGAGACTCCCTCTCAGTCAAGTCACTCCCCCGTCCCCAGTGCGCCTGCGCGGAGGATCGAGTTCGGACAAGTCACGCCCCCCGCCCCCAGTACGCCTGCGCGGAGGCTCCAGCTCAGCCAAGTCACTCCCTGCGCGGCGCCTCCCTCTCAGTCAAGTCACGCCCCCGTCTCCAGTGCGCCTGCGCGGAGGCTCGAGTTCGGATAAGTCACGCCCCCCGCCTTCAGTGCGCCTGCGCGGAGGCTCCCGCTTAGCCAAGTCACTCCCTGCGCGGACTCTCCCTCTCAGTCAAGTCACGCCCCTGTCCCCAGTACGCCTGCGCGAAGCCTCCAGCTCAAGTCAGCGTCACTCCCCGTACCCACTGCGCCTGCGCGGAAGCTCGAACTCGGCCAACTTCATTCCAGCTGTCCCCCAGTCACTCCCCGCCCCAGGAGCCCTGGTGGCGCAGTGGGTTAAACCCCTGTGCTGGCAGGACTGAAGACCGACAGGTCGCAGGTTCGAATCCAGCGATAGGCGGATGAGCTCCCTCTATCAGCTACAGCTCCTCATGCGAGGACATGAGAGAAGCCTCCTACAAGGATGATAAAAATATCAAATCATCTGGGCATCCCCTGGGCAACGTCCTTGCAGACGGCCAATTCTCTCACACCAGAAGCGACTTGCAGTTTCTCAAGTGGCTCCTGACACGACAACACAACTCCCCGCCCTCAGTGCGCCTCCGCGGAGGTTCCAGCTCAGCCAGCTTCATTCTCCCACCTCTCCTGTCGAGACTACTTCGGAAAGAAAGGGGCGGATCGATCTACATTGATTGACATGGATTCCCCCCTCACTTGCGCGTGCGCGTTCTCGAAAAAAGCTCCCAGCCGCAGCAGGAGGCAAAAGGAGCGAAGTGCGCATGCGTCTTTCAATCCCGGCGGAGGCGAGGCGCCCGAATAAGGAGCTATGCGCATGCGCGCGGCCTTCCTGGCCATTTGTAGGGAAAGTTGCCTGGAGAGAGCCTTTTCGCGCATGCGTCAGTGGAACTGTAGCCGAATGAATGGAGCTTGCCCTTGCTCGAAGCTGGGCGGTCGTGGAAGCTGTAGTTCGTGCTCTTGGGCAGAGAAGGCAAGAGGCCTCGCAAAACAACCACTACCAGGAATCCAGAGCAATTAAAGCGGCACTAAAATGGATTAATTCTGCAGTGTGGATTGCTCGCTGAGACATGGTGAAGCTGGGTGACACCTGCTCGGACCCCTGGCCTTTGACCTGTGGGGTCCCGCAAGGCTCTATTTTGTCTCCCATGCTTTTTAACATCTACATGAAACCACTGGGTGAGGTCATCCGGAGTTTTGGAGTTGGGTGCCATCTCTATGCAGATGACACACAACTCTACTATTTTCCACCAAACTCCAAGGAAGCCCCTCGGGTGCTGGACGAGTGTCTGGCCGCTGTGGCTGTCTGGATGAGGAAGAACAAGCTGAAGATCATTCCCGACAAGACAGAGGTCCTCCTGGTCGATCGTAAACCGGATCGGGGTATAGGGTGGCAACCTGTGCTGGACGGAGTTGCACTCCCCCTGAAGTCACAGGTCCGCAGTTTGGGTGTCCTCCTGGACTCATCACTTACGCTTGAGGGCCTTTGCACAATTAAGACTTGTGCGCCAGCTGCGACCATACCTCGTGAAGGCGGATCTGGCCAGGGTGGTCCATGCCTTAGTCATCTCTAGATTGGATTACTGTAATTCACTCTACATGGGGCTGCCCTTAAAAACGGCTTGGAAATTCCAGATGGTCCAACGGGCGGCAGCCAGGTTGCTAACTGGTGCTCCTTACAGGGAGAGGTCAACCCTCCTGTTTAAGGAGCTCCACTGGCTGCCATTTGTTATCTGGACCCAATTCAAGGTGCAGGTTCTTACCTACAAAGCCCTGAATGGGCCTTGGGGACACTGTTTTACAATGGCTCTGGTCCTTCCTGGAGGATTGTACCCAGAAGGTGTTGTTGCAGGATACCTGCTCGGCTGTTCCGAGCTCTGAGGATTACCTGGGAAGGGATCCCACTGGAGCATTGCAACACACCCAAATACCTGGGAGTCACTCTGGACCGTGCTCTGACCTACAAGAAGCACTGCCTGAACATCAAGCAAAAAGTGGGTGCTAGAAAAAACATCATACGAAAGCTGACTGGCACAACCTGGGGATCACAACCAGACACAGTGAAGACATCTGCTCTTGCGCTGTGCTACTCTGCTGCTGGGTATGCATGCCCAGTGTGGAACACATCTCAACACACTAAAACAGTAGATGTGGCTCTTAATGAGACATGCCGCATTATCACAGGGTGCCTGCGCCCTACACCACTGGAGAAATTACACTGCTTAGCTGGTATTGCACCACCTGACATCCGCCGGAAAGTAGCAGCCAATAGTGAAAGGACCAAGGCAGTGACATCTACAGCTCATCCCCTGTTTGGGTATCAGCCAGCACGTCAACAACTTAAATCTAGACATAGTTTTCTAAGATCTACAGAGACACTCACTGGAACACCTCACCAAGCGAGAGTCCACAAGTGGCAGGCTCAAACCCAGAACCTCAACCAATGGCTGATAGCAAATGAGAGACTCCCTCATGGGCACACAAAAAACTGGGTGACTTGGAAGGCGCTGAACAGACTGCTCTCTGGCACCACGAGATGCAGAGCCAACCTTCAGAAATGGGGCTACAAAGTGGAATCCTCGACATGCGAGTGTGGAGAGGAGCAAACCACTGACCACCTGCTGCAATGCAACCTGAGCCCAGCCACATGCACAAGGGAGGACCTTCTTGCAGCAAACACCAGAAGCACTCCAAGTGGCCAGATACTGGTCAAAGGACATTTAACAAACTACCAAACTCACAAGTTTTGTATTTGTCTGTTTGTTTGCTTTGTTCTGTTAGAAATGTAATATAATGGACTGGTTGCTCTGACATGACAGACAAACCTTATTCTGAACCTTACCCTACCTAACCCTAACCCTAACCCTACAACTTACCTGTATGTTATTATTGTTATTGTGTATTGTGTCCTTTTTTTTTTGAGTTTTATTTTTTTAACTGTTTGTATTGATTATTTCTTATTGCCTTTGTTTATTGATGTGCTGTGGGCTTGGCCCCATGTAAGCCGCACCAAGTCCCTTGAGGAGATGGTAGCAGGGTACAAATAAAGTTTTATTATTATTATTATTATTATTATTATTATTATTACCCTACCTTAACCTAACTATAAACCTTACCTACACCATAAACCTTACCCTATAAATTACCCTAAAGCTTACACTACACCCAGAGGCGGCCCTAGGTAATTTTCAACGGTAAGCAAACAGTATTTTGGCGCCCCCCCCCCCCCAACCAATCATTGATATATATTTTCTGTTCGTTGTGGGAGTTCTGTGTGCCATATTTGGTTCAATTCCATCATTGGTGGAGTTCAGACTGCTCTTTTGAAGGTGATACCAAATACCAGATTGTAGGTGAACTATACATCCCAGTAACTACACTTGCCGCACTTGCTCCCTTGCCTGGCCCGCTTTGGGTCCGGAGGCGTGCCTGAAGACCCCGGTGTGTGCACCAAAAGTCACCTCTTCTCCTGACTTTCTCCTCAGCCATTGGGACCAAGAGAGAGAGAGAGGTGGAGATGCCCACCTTTCCTGAAGGTAGGCGCAAAAACAAAGGAGGGAGCGGAGGTGGGAGATACCTCCAGCCAGAGGGGCTCTCTCTCTCTCTCTTGGTCCCAATGGCTGAAGAGAAAGTCAGGAGAAGAGGCGACTTTTGGTGCGCACGCTGGGGTCTTCAGACACGCCTCCGGACCCGAAGCGGGCCAGGCGCGGCGGCTCCGCCCCTTGGCCCACCCGTGGATTGGGGAGAGGAGAGGAGGCGGGTGGAGTGCGGGGGATACGGAAAGGGAGCCGGTCATGGGGAAGGGATCGAACGCGGAGAACGATTGAGCGCCGGCTCTGCTCGCGCACCCGGTGGCTGGGTGGAGCAGGAACGAGAGGGGCTAGGCGAGGCTCAAGGGCCCGGCCCCTTTGGGAAGAGGATCACCCGGCAGCGAGGCAAGAAAGCTGAGGCTCCCCCCGGACTGCTAGGGCTGTTGTGAGCTGAGGGGGCGCTCCTCAAGTGGCAGTCGAGGGGCATTTACAGAGGCGCCTCTGTGCCCCTGGCAAAAAAAAGTGTTCTGCGACTACTTACTTTGCGTAATGGACGAGCTGCCCCTGCCTACACCTTACCCCAACCATAAACCTTACCCGAAACCTTGCCCTAATAATAAAGCTTACCCTACACCTTACCCTACCTTACCCTAACCCTAAACCTTACCCTACCTTGGCCAATTCTCTCACACCAGAAGTGACTTGCAGTTTCTCAAGTCGCTCCTGGCATGACAAAAAATTGTTTTTTTGTTAATTATGCTATGTATTGATTTTATGTATAATGTGGCATTGAATTTTGCCAAACTGTAAGCCACTCTGAGTCCCCCTCAGGGTGAGATAGAGCGGGATAGAAAGAAAGTAAATAAAATAAAACAAATAAATAACTCTTGAGTTTCCACATGTGAGTGTGAATGTGATGGGGAGGCAGAATGCGTGATGATAGAAGAGGGACGATTCTCTACGCTAATTTTTTTTAAAAAACAATTGTAACATAAACAATTAAACATCAGTATAACAGTCATTAGCGCCTCAACAGTAAAATCAGAATCCAGTCTCATCATCCATTATTCCATATTCCTATGTTCAATTACACTGTTTAATCAAATGCTTGTTCGAAC